TATTACTATTGCCAACGCAGTCTTTGGATCAAAGCCACCGATCTCAGATGATGTCTTGGCTAAGGCCTTCCAGGTGCAAAAGGGGACAATTGATTGGCTCCAGGCTCAGTTTTGGGAGAACAACCACAACTAAATAAATCGGACTCACCTTCATTGTACGATGATAGGTTTATATGCATTTTGCATACTCATGTGTATTCAGTTACGACATGCTACAGACAACATATAATAGAATAAATGGAAAGTATTTGTAACTAGTCATTATTTTTGTGTCTCTGCTGCAAGCTATACCACCATGTTCTTTTCAAATATTTGAATTGAAGTACATGTGGATCCTACAAAATTTATTGAATATTGTTTTTTATATGATATGCCGTTACATAAACAATATTTCTGGACGGTAACTTGAAGATGAATATTGCATGGAGGCCACCAAATTACTAAGCTAAACTGAACTATCAACCGGTAGATCAGCTAAGATTAAATTAATCAACCCAGTAGGCCTTGGAGCCACACGTCCAGTGTGTTCCACTAGATGCATATAGTAACATAATTCAAGTATCATACGTGCTCACATCCAATTCCAACAATGTAAAGACTAGTTAAATTCACTTTACAAATGCAACACAAAAGTTCACACACATCAGAAGTCTAACACTCCAAACACGGTAGTTTAAGGCATTATGCCAAAACAGTATGAAGGAGACACCTTAACTAGTTAAACAAAATTAAAACATGTCACTAACGTAAGATTAGTGAGCGGGTAAACGGAACTCGTCACTAATTAGTTGTCACTCATGGCCGAAAAGCAAATCCTTAGATCCATTCTTGTTTGTGTAAGCTCTCCTTGTATCTAAAATTTGTTAAGAATTCGATGGCTGAAATGGATGAAACATGAACAATGTATATAGGACTATAGTAGGATTCTTCTTTATGGTAATTTGTAATCAAAGATCACTACTACAGAAAAGATTTTGTGAGGCGGTGCCATTTTATTATCCGAGGCGGGCGGGCTGGGCGGCCACCTCCGTTAATCAGTGGCAGGGCCGCCGCCTGAGCACCCACCTCGGTTAAGGATTAATGGAGGCGGGCAGCATTAGGCGTCCGCCTCCGTTAATGCTACATAAGGTAACCGCCTCCATTAACCCATTAACCGAGGGGGGCAACTTAAGACGTCTGCTTCCATTAATCGATTATTTTCGGAGGCGGGCGTCTTAAGATGTCCGCCTCGGTTAATGATTGCAACAAAAAAAATAATTCATAACTTTTTCATACGAACTCGAATGAAGATAAACTTTATATCAAAATTGTAGCTCTCGACGAGGTCCACAACTTTGTAGTTGAAAAGTTTTCTAATTGAAACTGTTTATGATCTCAAAATATTGTTGTAAGTGCACAGATTTTGAAATTTAAAACTATCAAACGGTCTCGATGTTGACATGGTCTATATGGAAGTTATGGTTCCCAATATGATTTACAACTTTGTTTTATTTGAAGTTGTTTAGTGTCCCAAATATTGTTCTAAGTTTGTAGATTTTGAAATTCAAAATTTATAATTCCTAAATGACCTCGAATGTTCACATAGTTAATATCAAAGTTGTAGTGGCCGACCTGTGGTGCAGCGGCTAGAGGGAAGGTGTAGAGGTCCCCGCCGCTATTGCCATGAAGAATGATGTGACAGGTCTGCAGATACTTAACAGAGAAACCAAAGACATCAAATTCAATAGAGCACATGTGGGCGGTAGCACCGGGGTGCATCACCTAGGGAGGCCGTTGCGACCGGTGAAGGCCCAAATGATTCAGCGTTGTGATGAGGCTATCTTGATCCCAAGACGGTGCTCATGGAGAGAGCTGTAGTGGCACTATGGCGGTGTTGGCTAGTGACGATGACCCAAGTAGACATAGTGCGGGCCGACGCCATGCCTTGACCCAATAGGACCCATGAAACGCTGTAGAGTCCAAACTGCTTAGATCCACTCTGCGCGCTGAGTGAACCACATCTACAACCATCCCACTTATGCTTAAGTCCTCGCTTCGCGTAAAAGGATTAACCCGGGGATGGTGGGATGGACTAACCCACCCTAAACAACAAAGGTGGGCCTAAACCTGCCACAATATCTCATTAACATTTACATGCCCACTATGGGCCAAATTCTAAACTGGGCCGGATGTCACATACACCCCCACCCCTCAAACGACCCGACATCCTCGTTGGCCCAACACTAACCCACAACCAGGGCAAACAATAAGAAGGAATGTTCCCTCTTAGCACACGCAGCCGTGCGTCCAGTGCCGGCACATGTGCCATGTCGTGCACCCCGCATGGTCTACACGCACAATGAGCACCATGTATGCGCCCGTGGCCGCGAAGGTCAGCTTTGATACCATTTGTAGTGCCCAAGAGTCCAAACGGCTCAGATCCACTCTGCACGCTGAGTGAACCATATCAACCACCATCCCACTTACGATTTCGTTCTCGCTTCGCGTAAAAGGATTAGCCCGGGGATGGTGGGATAGACTCTAGAAGCCTTATATGTTGGTCTAACCCACCCTAAACAACCAAGGTGGGACTAAACCCGCCTCAATATCTCATCAACATGCACATGGCCACTATGGGCCAAATTCTAAACTAGGTCGGATGTCATAGACCAGTTTAGCTACCCGCTGGACGACCCATTTGTTGAAGGCCACCCAAGGATCGGGATGCATGGGGTTCATGTTGCTTGTGGCCCTCGTACGACTGGCCGCCGCCCTAGCGGGGGGGGGGGGTACCCTTATTAAGGCGGTTCTGGTGGCTACCACTGTCGATGCGGCCACCAGCGGAGGATGCAAGCGGTGCAGTGGGAGCATTCAAGTAGCAGCCACCAAAGGAGCTGGCGGCAATAAGGACGGACTAGCAGACGACCTTTGAATCATTGGTCAGTCGTACTTCCTTTAGGAAGAGCATGTTCCAAGGTGTGGTAAAGGAGGGCAGAGTCGCCTTGTCCACCATGGTGTTCGTAGTTGTAGAAAACCCAGTGTTGAGCCTGCGCAGGAGGCTGAGCACCAGCTAGGGCCTGGAGATGGTGTGCTAACATCACATAGAGAGCCGGTGAAGACCTCCATGTGCTTGTAGTGGTCGTTGATGAAGAAGGTCCCGAGAACCATCGAGTGGAACTCGTGGTGCAGGATGATAGCACGCGACTGCTTGTTGGCATGGAAGAGGCCCTCGACGGCTCTCCAAATGGCAAACGCCATCTTTACGGGGTCCACGGTAAGGTGTAGCATGTTGTTGGTGATGCTCTGGTAGATCCAATTATGCACACAGGACTCAACCTGATGGAGAAGCCCAAACTTGGTGCACATGGGAGTGCATGAGCTGCGCCGACTTGGAGTAGTTGGGATGCTGGAGCTCAGGGGGATCGGCATCTAGTTCTTGACATTGACAGTGGCATAGGGGTTGATTGGCAGGGGGCTGATGATACCATGTAGAAAGGTAAAATAACAAGGGCCAACGAATCGAGGGAACACTTCTTACCCCCCTTCTATCGGGTGACCTTTCATGTATAGACATATATATAGGGACATTATTTAAGGAGCATATTGCGTTACAAGTTACACGAAGAATGTGAAATAAACATATATAAATGTCTAATAATAACCTTGTGGGATCATGGTTATGCGCGTCGGAGAGGCCCAAAACAATTCATTTTTATAAAATTTAATTTCGTCTTAGTTTACATCACGAAATCCCAATGCACCAGCTCCTTATATGTGTATTAGCTAGTGACTGTGTCTAAATATTTACAGAATGGAATCCACTCGGATGTCGGAACCAATAATGGTGACGAAATGCAACAAATTAAGAAAACCCGTCAGACCATAAGCTAGTAAATTACATATCAAGCAACAAAGTAAAGATTGACAAGGAAAAAAATTGGTCTTTATTTTATATGAGTTCTCTTTTAAATCATGCATGCTAAACCATCCCTATACTTCACGTACGTATTAGTGTAAAGCTACTAAGAAGCAATCAAGTGCTTGATCTAGTAAAGCTTGTACGACACATGCTGGTTTGGTGTGGAACTGACAGATATTTTGCACAAGCAAAAAAAAAAAAAATGGCGGTGACCAAGTAAACATTGGAAACATTAATCTGCTATGACTCTTTCAAGCGGTCACGAATGACAATATGGAGATTGTTGGATACTTATAATTATATGAGGTGGAAAAAGTAATTAAAGATATTGTACGATGGTCATGCACTATCGCATTGTTGACTATTTCTATATTTTTTTGTGACTTGACTCTTTCTATATACGTTTGTTAGCACAAGCATATAGGTTGGTCAATGAACCACATTTTTTGTTTACGCAACTATCGCTGTCCACCATCAGCAACGCCCTTGTACCTATGCCTTGTCATCTGCGACAGGGGTAGAAATGGATGTCCAATTATCCGTTTTCTTCAGATTCATATCCAATGACGAATCCTTCATTTTTGCGGTTTACTTCCAAACATTTTAAAATTTGGATGACTATGTGATTAATTACTATAAATCTTCATTTTACGGTTACCTCCAAAAATTCTAGAATTTATTTTTAAATTGATAGCTTGCTTGAACCCAGCCACCCCAAAACACAGAAATGAAAAGAAAGAATACACTTTCTTTAATGCTGTGCTAGAAGCAAAGAGACCATGCACGCTGAAGTTGTTAGTCGTATGGTGCGTGTGAAAATATTAAAAGCAAGGTAGGTTTGAAAAGTTGATAAGATAACTGTATTGTTTCATCAGCAGGCCGGTTCAAGCTGCCGGAGGCTGTTTCTTCAGTTCTGCTGATAGGTTCAACTTAAGACTTATTCAGCCACTAATACGCATACACGTCGCCACAAGCGCTGTGCCAGGCTATATAATCTCACCATCCCTTGCCGAGAGCATCAACAAGACAAACTCAAACAGAACAAGCTAAGAAGCTCCATTGAATTCTGAGAGCACAAGCACAAAAGCGAGTGCAAAACCAAATGGCTGCCTCCACCCACTTCCTTCTCATTGCTTTTCTAGCATTGGTCACTTCTCAGGCCATTGCTTCTGACCCTAGCCCGCTCCAGGACTTCTGTGTTGCCGACCTACACTCTCCAGGTATGCACGCACTCACTTCAAATAATGCGCTATGTTCTTGTACTACATTACAGATCAAATCAGAATTATTTGTGAGAACAAACACTATATTTTTTATGTATGTCGTAGTGATTTCTGATCGCTGTGTACATATTTTTCTTTGTCTTTGTATATGCAGTGAAGGTGAATGGATTTGTTTGCAAGGACCCCATGGCCGTGGAGCGCAGATGACTTTTTCAAGGCAGCAAACCTGACAAGCCTATGGACACCATGAAAAGCAAGGTCGGATCCAATGTCACTTTGATCAATGTCATGAAGTTGCCTGGACTCAACACCCTGGGCATCTCGTTGGCTCGCATTGACTACGCACCATTAGGTCAGAATCCGCCACACACCCACCCACGTGCCACAGAGATTCTCACCGTGCTTGAGGGTACACTCTATGTTGGATTTGTCACCTCCAACACAGACAACGGTAACAAGCTATTCGCCAAGGTTCTCAACAAGGGTGACGTGTTTGTATTCCCCCAAGGGCTCATCCACTTCCAATTCAATCCGGTCCATGACAAGCCAGCGATCGCGATCGCGGCACTAAGTAGCCAGAACCTGGGGCTATTACTATTGCCAACGCAGTCTTTGGATCAAAGCCACCGATCTCAGATGATGTCTTGGCTAAGGCCTTCCAGGTGCAAAAGGGGACAATTGATTGGCTCCAGGCTCAGTTTTGGGAGAACAACCACAACTAAATAAAATCGGACTCACCTTCATTTATACGATGATAGGTTTATATGCATTTTGCATACTCATGTGTATTCAGTTACGACATGCTACAGACAACATATAATAGAATAAATGGAAAGTATTTGTAACTAGTCATTATTTTTGTTTCTCTGCTGCAAGCTATACCACCATGTTCTTTTCAAATATTTGAATTGAAGTACGTGTGGATCCTACAAAATTTATTGAATATTGTTTTTTATATGATATGCCGTTACATAAACAATATTTCTGGACGGTAACTTGAAGATGAATATTGCATGGAGGCCACCAAATTACTAAGCTAAACTGAACTATCAACCGGTAGATCAGCTAAAATTAAATTAATCAACCCAGTAGGCCTTGGAGCCACACGTCCAGTGTGTTCCACTAGATGCATATAGTAACATAATTCAAGTATCATACGTGCTCACATCCAATTTCAACAATGTAAAGACTAGTTAAATTCACTTTACAAATGCAACACAAAAGTTCACACACATCAGAAGTCTAACACTCCAAACACGGTAGTTTAAGGCATTATGCCAAAACAGTATGAAGGAGACACCTTAACTAGTTAAACAAAATTAAAACATGTCACTAACGTAAGATTAGTGAGCGGGTAAACAGAACTCGTCACTAATTAGTTGTCACTCATGGCCGAAAAGCAAATCCTTAGATCCATTCTTGTTTGTGTAAGCTCTCCTTGTATCTAAAATTTGTTAAGAATTAGATGGCTGAAATGGATGAAACATGAACAATGTATATAGGACCATAGTAGGATTCTTCTTTATGGTAATTTGTAATCAAAGATCACTACTACAGAAAAGATTTTGTGAGGCGGTGCCATTTTTTATTATCCGAGGCGGGCGGGCTGGGCGGCCACCTCCGTTAATCAGTGTGGGGGGCCGCCGCTGAGCACCCACCTCGGTTAAGGATTAATGGAGGCGGGCAGCATTAGGCGTCCGCCTCCGTTAATGCTACATAAGGTGACCGGCCTCCATTAACCCATTAACCGAGGGGGGCAACTTAAGACATCTGCTTCCATTAATCGATTATTTTCGGAGGCGGGCGTCTTAAGATGTCCGCCTCGGTTAATGATTGCAACAAAAAAAATAATTCATAACTTTTTCATACGAACTCGAATGAAGATAAACTTTATATCAAAATTGTAGCTCTCGACGAGGTCCACAACTTTGTAGTTGAAAAGTTTTCTAATTGAAACTGTTTATGATCTCAAAATATTGTTGTAAGTGCACAGATTTTGAAATTTAAAATTATCAAACGGTCTCGATGTTGACATGGTCTATATGGAAGTTATGGTTCCCAATATGATCTACAACTTTGTTTTATTTGAAGTTGTTTAGTGTCCCAAATATTGTTCTAAGTTTGTAGATTTTGAAATTCAAAATTTATAATTCCTAAATGACCTCGAATGTTCACATAGTTAATATCAAAGTTGTAGTGGCCGACTGTGGTGCAGCGGCTAGAGGGAAGTGTAGAGGTCCCCGCCGCTATTGCCATGAAGAATGATGTGACAGGTCTGCAGATACTTAACAGAGAAACCAAAGACATCAAATTCAATAGAGCACATGTGGGCGGTAGCACCGGGGTGCATCACCTAGGGAGGCCGTTGCGACCGGTGAAGGCCCAAATGATTCAGCGTTGTGATGAGGCTATCTTGATCCCAAAACGGTGCTCATGGAGAGAGCTGTAGTGGCACTATGGCGGTGTTGGCTAGTGACGATGACCCAAGTAGACATAGTGTGGGCCGACGCCATGCCTTGACCCAATAGGACCCATGAAAACGCAGAAAGTCCAAATCTGCATAGATCCACTCTGCGTGAGTGAACCACATCTACAACCATCCCACTTATGCTTAAGTCCCGCTTGGCGTAAAAGGATTAACCGGGGATGGTGGGATGGACTAACCCACCCTAAACAACAAAGGTGGGCCTAAACCGCCACAATATCTCATTAACATGCACATGACTATGGGCCAAATTCTAAACCGGGCCGGATGTCACATACACCCCCACCCCTCAAACGACCCGACATCCTCGTTGGCCCAACACTAACCCACAAACCGGAGGCAAACAATAAGAAGGAATGTTCCTCTTAGTACACGCAGCCGTGCGTCCAGTGCGGCACATGTGCCATGTCGTGCACCCCGCATGGTCTACACGCACAATGAGCACCATGTATGCGCCCTGAGCCGCATGCGCCGTGGCCGCGAAGGTCAGCTTTGATACCATTTGTAGTGCCCAAGAGTCCAAACGGCTCAGATCCACACTCACTGCACTTGAGTGAACCACATCAACCACCATCCCACTTACGCTTTCGTTCTCGCTTCGCATAAAAGGATTAGCCCGGGGATGGTGGGATAGACTCTAGAAGCCTTATATGTTGGTCTAACCCACCCTAAACAACCAAGGTGGGACTAAACCCGCCTCAATATCTCATCAACATGCACATGGCCACTATGGGCCAAATTCTAAACTAGGTCGGATGTCATAGACCAGTTTAGCTACCCGCTGGACGACCCATTTGTTGAAGGCCACCCAAGGATCGGGATGCATGGGGTTCATGTTGCTGTGGCCCCCTCAGACGATCGGGCCGCCGCCCTAGCGAGGGGGGTACCCTTATTAAGGCGGTTCTAGTGGCTACCATTGTCGATGCTGCCACCGCCGGAGGATGCAAGCGGTGCAGTGGGAGCATTCAAGTAGACCACCAAAGGAGTGGCGGCAATAAGGGCGGACTAGCAGGCGACCTTCGAATCATTGGTGACTCGTACTTCCTTTAGGAAGAGCATGTTCCAAGGTGTGGTAAAGGAGGGCAGAGTCGCCTTGTCCACAATGGTGTTCGTAGTTGTAGAAAACCCAGTGTTGAGCTGCGTGGGAGAGGCCGAGCACCAGCTAGGGCCTGGAGATGGTGTGCTAACATCACATAGAGAGCCGGTGAAGACCTCCATGTGCTTGTAGTGGTGTCGTTGATGAAGAAGGTCCCGAGAACCATCGAGTGGAACTCGTGGTGCAAGATGATAGCACGCGACTGCTTGTTGGCATGGAAGAGGCCCTCGACAGCTCTCCAAATGGCAAACGCCATCTTTACGGGGTCCACGGTAAGGTGTAGCATGTTGTTGGTGATGCTCTGGTAGATCCAATTATGCACACAGGACTCAACCTGATGGAGAAGCCCAAACTTGGTGCACATGGGAGTGCATGAGCTGCGCCGACTTGGAGTAGTTGGGATGCTGGAGCTCAGGGGGGATCGGCATCTAGTTCTTGACATTGACAGTGGCATAGGGGTTGATTGGCAGGGGGCTGATGATACCATGTAGAAAGGTAAAATAACAAGGGCCAACGAATCGAGGGAACACTTCTTACCCCCCTTCTATCGGGTGACCTTTCATGTATAGACATATATATAGGGACATTATTTAAGGAGCATATTGTGTTACAAGTTACACGAAGAATGTGAAATAAACATATACAAATGTCTAATAATAACCTTGTGGGATCATGGTTATGCGCGTCGGAGAGGCCCAAAACAATTCATTTTTATAAAATTTAATTTCGTCTTAGTTTACATCACGAAATCCCAATGCACCAGCTCCTTATATGTGTATTAGCTAGTGACTGTGTCTAAATATTTACAGAATGGAATCCACTCGGATGTCGGAACCAATAATGGTGATGAAATGCAACAAATTAAGAAAACCCGTCAGACCATAAGCTAGTAAATTAAATATCAAGCAACAAAGTAAAGATTGACAAGGAAAAAAATTGGTCTTTATTTTATATGAGTTCTCTTTTAAATCATGCATGCTAAACCATCCCTATACTTCACGTACGTATTAGTGTAAAGCTACTAAGAAGCAATCAAGTGCTTGATCTAGTAAAGCTTGTACGACACATGCTGGTTTGGTGTGGAACTGACAGATATTTTGCACAAGCAAAAAAAAAAAAAAATGGCGGTGACCAAGTAAACATTGGAAACGTTAATCTGCTATGACTCTTTCAAGTGGTCACGAATGACAATATGGAGATTGTTGGATACTTATAATTATATGAGGTGGAAAAAGTAATTAAAGATATTGTACGATGGTCATGCACTATCGCATTGTTGACTATTTCTATATTTTTTTGTGACTTGACTCTTTCTATATACGTTTGTTAGCACAAGCATATAGGTTGGTCAATGAACCACATTTTTTGTTTACGCAACTATCGCTGTCCACCATCAGCAACGCCCTTGTACCTATGCCTTGTCATCTGCGACAGGGGTAGAAATGGATGTCCAATTATCCGTTTTCTTCAGATTCATATCCAATGACGAATCCTTCATTTTTGCGGTTTACTTCCAAACATTTTAAAATTTGGATGACTATGTGATTAATTACTATAAATCTTCATTTTACGGTTACCTCCAAAAATTCTAGAATTTATTTTTAAATTGATAGCTTGCTTGAACCCAGCCACCCCAAAACACAGAAATGAAAAGAAAGAATACACTTTCTTTAATGCTGTGCTAGAAGCAAAGAGACCATGCACGCTGAAGTTGTTAGTCGTATGGTGCGTGTGAAAATATTAAAAGCAAGGTAGGTTTGAAAAGTTGATAAGATAACTGTATTGTTTCATCAGCAGGCCGGTTCAAGCTGCCGGAGGCTGTTTCTTCAGTTCTGCTGATAGGTTCAACTTAAGACTTATTCAGCCACTAATACGTACGTACATCGTCGCCACAAGCGCTGTGCCAGGCTATATAATCTCACCATCCCTTGCCGAGAGCATCAACAAGACAAACTCAAACAGAACAAGCTAAGAAGCTCCATTGAATTCTGAGAGCACAAGCACAAAAGCGAGTGCAAAACCAAATGGCTGCCTCCACCCACTTCCTTCTCATTGCTTTTCTAGCATTGGTCACTTCTCAGGCCATTGCTTCTGACCCTAGCCCGCTCCAGGACTTCTGTGTTGCCGACCTACACTCTCCAGGTA